GCCGGGCCGCGCCCGCCGGCCGCACTGTGAGCAGCCCGTGCCCAGAGGGTCCCCTCCCGTGGGCAGCGGGACCCCCCACAGACCCACCTGGAAGAAGAAGCCGAGGACGGCCAGGCCGTTGGGATGCCCCTTGGCCTCTGCCAGCGTCCGGTACTTGACATTGATGTGGACGATGTGCAGCTGGGGGAAGCATGGAGGGGCCAAGGGTGGGCAACCGCCCCTGGCTGACTCCACCAGCAGCAGGGCGCTTGCCCATGCATCTCCCTGGCCAGCCTGGGGCGGCCGGACACTGAGCCCACCACCCCCCAAAAAAGCCCAAAAGCCCTCCCAGTTGACGGGTGCTTCCGTGGGGTGGCCACCCAGAGGATCAAAGCACCCCAATGAAGCGCGCATCCTTTGAAGGGGGTGGGGAAAAGGGGCCAGCAGTCCCAGGGCACCCACCAGCCGCAATACATAAATTTTGCTCTCTCCTCTGGTAGATAATTAATATTTTAGAGGCGCAGAGCCTCTTTCACCCAGAAGGATCCCGACGTGCTTGGCACAGCACGCTCCCGCAGGCTCTTGCTCACTGACTCAGCACACAGTCCCCGGCGGGGCGCAGCGCCCTCCAAACCCCGCTGAGCGCCCCCGAAAGGGCACCTTGGCCCACGCACGGTAAAGAAAAACCTCGAGTCTCCTGTCAGCTGCTTTTTAACCACCCAGGTGTCCTGTGCAGCGACTGTCCATATCCCACCGTCAGCGCAAGGCTGCGGTGACGGGGAGCGCGGCTGAACCCGGCAGTGCAGCATCACCAAGCCCGGTCGCCCCACTGCACAGCACCTTGGGACACACCAGCATCACACCTTCCCGTCACATCAAGGACTTGGACCACCCAGAGAGCACGGAGGCTGCTTTTTCTCGCCTACCTCCATGGGGAGCTGGCGCCCGTCGAGGGTGTGCTCGGAGCCGTTGCCGGCTGGGCTGCCCCAGTGGAAGTGGAGCTGCAGTGCCCGGTACCTGCCGGGGAGGCCCCCGCCACTGATGGTGATGTGCTCAGAGGCCGACTCGCTCTCCAGGCTCAACATCACTGCAAGGGCAGCCGCACAGGGTAAGGATGGGGATTAGGATGGGGGACAGCCCTGGCACGCCTGGGCTCATCATCCCCAGGCTTCATCCCAGCGCTAACACAACCCCATGGGGCAGGCGCCGCCTCGGGCCCCTACAGCTCAAGGGCAAAGAGCACCCGGGAGCAGTGGTGGAGCCGAGCCCCGGCTGGGACAGTGCCCGGGGGAGCCGGGGCA